AGATATTGGATGGGATATTATTTATATTATGATTTGTGTCCAATACAAGATAAAGGTGATAATGAAGCAAGGCAAACAAGATTGAAGCAAGCGGTTCAATTATTCAAAGAAGCAGCTGATGCAAGCATAGCAGATGCACAATTAAGATATGGACATTGCTTATGGGCTGGTGATGGAGTGAAGAAAAATATCAAACAGTCAGTAGAATATTTCCAAATGTCTGCAAATAACGGCAATATAACTGCCATGTATAACCTAGGTAATATTTATCATAATGGTTTGGGCGTTGTTAGGGATGAAGAGAAAGGTAAGAGATATTTGAAAATGGCTGCTTTACAACAACATCCTAAAGCTCTGTCTATGTGTAAATCTAAAGGAATCAGTCTTACTTAAGATTAGATAGATTTATTATTTATTTATTAGATCTTGTTTTATTAAATTGAGAGTTTTAATATTAATGATTAAATTATATGTAACGTCAAAATTTCATAATCCCACATCCCCATAAAATGAGATCATAAGATAAAATGTCTGACTTCTTATTGTCTCTAAACTAGATATTTTAAAAATATTGTTTGCAATGGCATTTTTTGTATAACAACTTGGGCAGAATATTCTTGAATGTTCTGTGGCGCAGCTAAGCGAACACTTCTAGAAACACGGTAAAAAATTGTACTCCAAACACAAGGTTCTCTGCGTTAAACATTTGAACAAAAAACCAAAAATGTAAAACTTATATAAAAAAAATGTGGAATTCGTGGAAAAAACTTTTAAATGAATAAAGAATTAGTTTCGACTAATGTTAAATTTACTCAATAATAGTAGGCCGGTTTACTTGACGTGACTAAAATTAGTTTCTTGCCGAGCTCCATGGTGACAACGAATAGGGAGCCACTTGAAAAACCGAGGAATAATGAATAACATTTTTCGTTGTGTTGGTCCGATACAGTCTAATCTTAGTTTCAAAGACTGGACTTTTTTTAGAGGACTGAAAGATCGGTTCCCGAACTGGTTAAAAGTCCAGTTAAAGTCCAGTTAAAAGTCGGCTCATATATTTACAAAAATACAATTAAAAGTCGCAACAAATTTATTTATATTGCATTCAGAAAACAAGTAACACACATTGT